GCATTGCGAGTCATTTACATAACTTTCAAAATAGGACACAACTACATGTACGAAATGTTTAGGCTCCCTTACCCACTGTACATTGTGGTAATAAATCATGGAACCTTCCCACCACACAATCTACCTAGTCTGCATCAGCTGTCAACTCCCCTCCTTAGTGTATGCCAGAACTGTGAAGCTGCATATCTTCCATTTAGATATTTGTTTACCATTGTATTTTGATACGGGTATATCTTCTCTTCGGAACTTAGCGATCCTCATGAGAGCTTGAGGATAGATGCTTCTCATGATAACATGAGAATAGAGGTGTCAAACAGTACAAGGGAATGCAGGAGGAAGCGTGGAACGAGACGACGAGCAGAAGAATCGAAGTATCCAGTTTTCAGCCTGTGAGTCGACTCATAACAGTCATGAGTCGACTCATCAGGTTGAGTCGACTCATGACTGTCATGAGTCGACTCATCACTGGTTTTTGAGTTTTGTCCAGTTTCGAACGAGTCGACTCATCTCAGTCATGAGTCGACTCATCGATGGTTTCCTGGTTCGTTTGAGTTTCTGTTCACACGAATTCCTGTTGGTTTTAGGTCTGGTTATTTACCAAATTATCATCCACCTTTGTACATCTATATAAAGGATTGTTTTAGGGTTTCTAGACAAGGAGATAGAATCAGAGAGGTAATTAAGAGAGATTCTAATCATTGTATTAGAGTTTAGTGAGAATTGAGAGTTTGTTCTCGATTCTAGTGAGATTGTGAGAGAATGATTGTAATCTTTTCATAACTCATAATCTAAAGAAGGTATTTTTCTTCGTCATATACTGAATTGTGCTTGTGTTTCTGTCATCCTCTTCTCAACCCACCTTTGATAATTTCGCGATCAAAGGTGCTCGCACGGCAACTTGTATCAAGTTGGTATCAGAGCATCAGATCCGGTGAAGGGGCATCCTCTGTATGGTCCTTACTCGATCCCAATACAAGAAGCTTGGCGAGATCCTTATTTCATTGGAAGGAGTCCAGGTTTTAAGGAAGAAGATGGCTGAAGAAGACAATTCAGCGATGATTGATGCATTGGAGAAGCAGATCGAGACGATAGGTTCGACTCTCACACAACTCGTCAGTCTTATCCATGGAGGTGGCAAACAAGGTGAATCTTCTTCGAAGAAAATTATTGAGTCTGATGTGGAGAGAGTAGATACAGATTCCGATGAGGAGGAGAACATTAAGGCTGCATTGCATCAAGGAGGTAAGAATTCTTATCAGAACCTGAAGATTGACTTCAAGGTGAAGATTCCTGTTTATGATGGGAGTGTTGATAAGAATTCTTATCAGAACCTGAAGATTGACTTCAAGGTGAAGATTCCTGTTTATGATGGGAGTGTTGACGTCGAGAGGCTTGATGACTGGATCGAACGGATGAAGACGTATTTTACTCTTTATGGCTATTCGTCGAAAGAGAAGATTGTGTTCGCGACTTTAAAGCTTTCGGGATACGCGTTGACGTGATGAAAATCCTACTGCAAGCAGGAGAAGAAGACGATGTCGTGGAACAAGTTTAAGGAGTTACTGAGGAAGCAGTTCTACCCGGTGAGATTCCTTAAAGAACGTTGGTACAAGTGATACGGCTTGCGCCAAAAGGTTAATCAAACCGTTCTAGAATACACTACGGAGTTCCAACAGCAGACGATGGTCCTCAACATTGCCACAAAGAAATATTCCGTGTTTATGAAGTATATGACGGGATTAAGCGATAACATCCGAAAGGAGATGAAGCTATTCACGGTGGAATCAATTACAGAGGCGAGCGTGAAAGCTATTGCCCTCGAGGGCAAGCAAAAGAAGGACAACGAGGCTAAGGGAGACTCCAAACAGACAGGAGGCGAATCTAGTGGTTCTCAATCTAAGAAGGAGAAAAAAAAAGAGTGATCCAAGAAAAGCAGGGCTGATTTGTAGTCACTACGAGAAGATAGGGCATACAGTTGATCGGTGCTGAGAGAAGTATCCTCATCTCAAGCCAAGAGGGTTGAAGGAGGAGAAAAAGACAAACATGATAGCTCAAGGTCCGAAAGAAGTCCCGGGAATGACAGAGCCCAACAGCAGTCTTAACCTTATGACGAAAAAACAGACCACGAAAGAGGACGACGACCCGAGGGAGCAGCTCTTTGTTCTTAAGTTGCAAGTGAAGACCAGTTTGGTTGGTGCCATTGTTGATTCGGACAACGAGAAGAATTTGATATCCGAGGCATTAGTGCAGAAACTGGGTCTGAAAACGATTAAGCATCCGAAGCCCTATCCATTGGGGTGGATTCAAAAGAAGAAAAAACTAAGTGTAGTTGATCAATGCACTGTTAAATTTGCGCTCCACGAGTCGTATATTGACGAGGTCACGTGCGACGTCGTTCCATTGGATGTTTGTCAGATTATACTGGGCAATCCGTACTTATGGGATAGATATGTAATCTACGAGAGACGGGCTCAGAAGTACACCTTCACTAAGGATGGTGTAAAGTTCATATTTCGTTCGGCATCTCTTCCGAAGGAGACAAGCTTGGGAACGGTGACGCGAGCGAAGAGACTAGTGAATGCAAGGAAGAAGTTTGTCTCGCTGTGCATTAGACTTCCAGAAAAATCATCGACAAAGGATTGCAACTTAGAGCGAACAGTGACTGACGAGACACGGGACGAATGAGTTGTTTCCGATAGGACGTCGAGACCGGATTCCTAGCAAGGCCAGGTGGTGCAGAAAAGATGGAGGAGCTCGAGAGTTTCCTCAGCAAAGGTTCTAACTTGAATAAGACTTCAAGTTCTTAAAGAGGGGACCCATGATACGGGTGTATCTTCTCTTCGAAACTTAACAATCCTCATGGGAGCTTGAGGATAGATGCTTCTCATGATAACATGAGAATAGAGGTGTTAAACAGTACAAGGGAATGCAGGAGGAAGCGTGGAACGAGACGACGAGCAGAAGAATCAAAGTATCCAGTTTTTAGCCTGTGAATCGACTCATAACAGTCATGAGTCGACTCATCAGGTTGAGTCGACTCATGACTGTCATGAGTCGACTCATCACTGATTTTTAAGTTTTGTCCAGTTTCGGACGAGTCGACTCATCTCAGTCATGAGTCGACTCATCGATAGTTTCCTGGTTCGTTTGGGTTTCTATTCACACGAATTCCTGTTGGTTTTGGGTCTGGTTATTTCCCAAATTGCCATCCATATTTGTACATCTATATAAAGGATTGTTTTAGGGTTTCGAGACAAGGAGATAGAATCAGAAAGGTAATTAAGAGAGATTCTAATCATTGTATTAGGGTTTAGTAAGAATTGAGAGTTTGTTCTCGATTCTAGTGAGATTATGAGAGAATGATTGTAATCTTTTCATAACTCATAATCTAGAGAATGTATTTTCCTTCGCCATATACTGAATTGTGCTTGTGTTTCTATCATCCTCTTCTCAACCCACCTTTGATAATTCCGCGATCAAAGGTGCTCACACGGCAACTCGTATCATATTTACATAACTTTTAGTTAATGTTATAGTCACAGTTTTAGTGTATCATTTCAATTTCATAGCACTTCCTATAGCTATCTTATTAGCTAAATTTTAGTTGTTCTATGGTTCGACGTTTAGATCATTAAATAAACTAAGAACCATAAGATCAAAAAAAATTGACGGTCTAAACTAAGAATCATAGAATAACTAGTCCCAAGATCAAATGTCTTTGTTGATCCGAACTGAGAACAATACAATAACTAACACTTATATCGTAAGATAGCCATAAAAAGTACAACCAACTTAAACTGATACACTAAACAAAATTCAATCTGAAACATTAACTAATATACGTAAAAGACAACATAAACTAATATCTGAACAGAACTACATTTTCATGGTTCAAGCTTGCACTATGAAGTGGACTTGACAGCTTCTGCAGGCAAGATAGAGTTTATGATGTTTGAAGTAAATTATACAACGGATAATGAACCATGCAAACCTCGTAGACTTCATTGTGTCATGTACTAGCTGTCAACAGGGTTGCAATTTAGGAAATTTAACAAAGCGTACGGATGACCATGAGTCATTCCAGGCATATAACTGTGAGCAATTTCGTGTCATTGATGTTGCATTTCAGTTGCTGCTGCTAGCTATGGAAAGCAGCTTAGTTTGACTTTGGCATCGTTTTGTCGACATTGTGTCTTCATGATGAAGACAGTTGCGGCGGGTTGTGCGGACTTTAACTCAAACAAATATAAAGAGGAGCCGTACAAGTGCAACAATTTCTACAAACGTATGGTGCTTTTCGAAGTTTAGAGTAGAGAGGGATGTGTCTAGTATTTAGGCACAGGGAATATGAGAATAGGGGGAGCTTGGTACTTGGGTACTGGCATGAGATGAAATTGAGATGTTTTAGCTCAGATGAATGACAATATGCCCCTCTTAATAAGTTGTGATATCTAAGTGGAGGGTAATGCTATATATTACCTCGGAAAACTAAACAACTTCAACATCTGAACCTCTGACTACGCAAGACCGCATTCTTATTAGAAAATGAACTAGAATATAAATATTTTGACAGACGCACACACGTATGTGTAGTAATATCTTTGATATATTTCTTGCCACATATATTTCTGTGGCTAGTGCAAACTGCAATAATACACCATGCAGAATATCTCAAGTATGGAGGGGAAATAAATAAATAAAATAAAATAAAATAAAAAGAGTATCTGAAGTACGAACACCTTCATCCAAACTTAAATGGTGTCGAAAAAACGACCCAATAAATGAAATGGTATTATGAACATCGCCTTTTGACGCCACAGCACATCAAGTAACATTAAAAAAAATCGTTTAACTATCGGTTTTTAGACAGAATTGAACATCAAAACCTACAATAATACGGTGGCTTCTCAAACGACGAAAACCCACGAATATTTGAACACAACTGAGAACCAAGATACGAGTATTAAAAAAAAAAGAAGTAAGATCAGAGCGTGTGGTACCTTGTGGAGCGGGAATCAATCGAGATCAGTTGTAGTAGAGCTCGAGACCCATGCCGTCGTGGATCTCGTAGTCCTTGAGGGTGATGTGGTCCTTGTAGATGTTGTACCACTTCTGGATTCGGATCTTGTCGGATCGCGTACCCGTTTGAGCGGCCACCAGTTTCTTGAGATCGCCGATGGTGTCGTCCTCGTTGCACTTCACTCTCACCTTCTTCCCCAATCGATCGTTAAGAACCACCTCGATCATCTTTGCTTTTCCCAAACCCTAACCCTAGCCTTTCCTTCTGAGCTGCGATAGGAGAGAAAATATCGGGATTCGTCGAAGGGCCTATCCACAATAGACCAAATAGCCAAATGGGTCTCTAAATTAAATTAAACAGATATAAACGAATACGATGCGGACATTTTGGAATGGCGGCCCACATCAGGTAGAAACGGGCAATGTCAGTGATACAAGGCCCAATAACCGCAAACTGCCTTAGAAGAGCTTATAATATGAACAATATTTTTCGTTTGAGCGAATTTTTTTTTTTTTTTTTTTTTTTGTGGGGGGGCTCATTATGCAATATGGAGGGGACACCTCACATGTCCCCTCCCTTGGTCCCATATTTTGAGTCCTTAAGTCATTTTTCTACTATCGATAACATTTTCCCGAGCCTAAAAGCTAAAAAAAGCTAACGACATTTTCGTTAAGTTCCTGTAATTAGTTTAGACTAAAGGGGTTGTTTGATTGGTTTCCTAAAAATCAAGAAAAGGAAAAGGGTGCATGAAAATCAATAAAATATTATTTTTATTCATTTACATCCCTAAAACTCATCACAACATCCAATAAAATAATATTTTCATCCCACAACTCATCTCATATCATCTCCTAAAAATAAACCAAACACAATAAATGAGTCACATCATCCAACTCATCTCATCTCCATCATACCCCATCTTTAAAAATCACTCACATCATCCAATAATATGGTGACAACTCATCTTATCTTATTAACATTTCATTTCCACCCATTTCCTCAAAAAAAGCTAGGAAATCGATTTCCTTAAGTGTGAGTCACATCATCCAATAATATAATGACAACTCATCTCATCTTATCTATTTTCTTATTTTTATGAATGAACCAAACGCAGGAAAAAAACCTATTACAGGAAATAGGTTTCTTATAACTTATTTCCTTATTTTTTTAGCTAACCAAACAACCTCAAAACAAATTTTCTTAAAAAACACCAACATCATCCAATAATAATGTGACAACTCATCTCTCATTCTTTAATTTTTTTTAGCCAACCAAACAATCTCAAAATAATTTTTCTTAGAAATAGGTTTTATATTCTTTGATTTCCCTCTTTTTAGGTAAACAAACAGCCTCTGGGCCTGTTTGTTTGCACGGAAGTAATTGTGAAGTAGCTGAAGTAAAAGAAGTAGAGGCTACGTCTACTACTTCCAAGCAAAAAAGTGTGTTTGGTTCTCTGAAAAACTTACTTCCAATACTTTCCTAAATGCTTATGTGATGCCTACGTGTCATCCTTACTTCCAAAATATTTTTCCAATCCTCAATACTCAGAAGTAGCTCGGAAGTAGTTGAAATGCATATTAATTATGACATAAATAATTTTTTTATTAATATTTCCTTTATTAGTTACTTCTAACAACTTTTCATTAATAAAATTACTTCCTAATAATATTTTTAAATATTATCCAAACAAAAAAAGTAAATGAAGAGGAAGAAGTTCTACTTCCATTACTTCTAAAAATATATGAAACAAACAAAAAAAAATGTTATTTTCACTACTTCCTACTTCATAGCTTTAAAAGTTACTTCTATAACCTACTTCTTACTTCTGATACTTCCATTATCCAAACAGGCCCTAAATGGACAGAGATAAGTATCATGAACGCAAAAGTTACATCGTCCTAAGAGTAACAGACTATTTTCTGTTCTTTGCTACACTTCCCCTTCCTCCCCCCACCACATAAGAAGCTGTATAAAATGCCATAAAAGTACTTGAAATATTTTGTTTTCCATGAAAAAGAAATTAATTAGTAAGTAGGTAACAAGCTATGATTCATAATAGACTCAATTCTGTGAGCCACGCAGAAGTTAAATTAGCTATGCCTGCACAACAATATATACTAAGGCCGCATCGTGCTCGTGAGTTTTAACATTTATCAATCAACATACTAGCAATTGTGATTAGTGAGTTTCAAAGTTATTTCAGCTAGAAATCTCTGACCAAGTACGGTTATAAATGCAGTATACAGATAAAACAAAACTCACTTTATATAAGTGCCAATAGAAATA